AGAGGTTCATAAATATCACCTTTGTCTCCAGCTTAAAATTGAGATTACTCGCTCTTATTCTGCCTTATCTAAAATTTTTCCTTCAGCGCCACCCACACACACACACACACACACACACACACACACACACACACACACACACACACACACACACACACACACACACACACACACACACACACACACACACACACACACACACACACACACACACACACGCTTAGTTCGTATAAAAAATACATATAATTCTTTTGTGATATTGTGTGATATATTATTATTATTAGTTGTAGTAGTTATAGTATTATTTGTAGTAGTTGTAGTTGTAGTAGTAATAGTTCTTGTAATAGTAGCATTACTGTCACTAAGACACACTACCCTGGCTTCACAGAGGTCAACATAGAGTACCAGCTGGACGGTAAAGTGAACGAGCCCAGACTATACTTCCTGGCCAACAACGAGAGGATGCTGAAGGAGAAGCTTCAGCTGGAGAGAGAGATCCCACAGTGCAAGACTTACCAAGTGTATGTTGCTGTGAGTATGACTCCTCTGATGGGTGGGTCTTGTTTATGTCGACTTATTGTATACATGCACTCTGTATATTGTTTGTATAACTCCACTGTCTAGTTACGTTGTATGTATGCTTATACTATCTATACACATGCTTACCAACTGGAAACTTGTATGACAATTTGAAGGTTTGTGGAAATACAGGAATTTCTCCTTAAAACTGTTGTCAATGAAAACGAAACTCTGAGATCAAAGGGGAAACTATACTCTTATTTATTTATCATTCCACCTTACTAACCGTTCGGGTGGTTGATCCATTCATTGTTACTGTGTTATAAACTTTATTTGTCCGTAGTGAAGAGATATACACAGTAAGAGAGAGTTGAATTCTGTTTTTTTTGTGTTTGTGATTGTGAAAAACTTGTCACCAATGTTTCTAATTTAACCAACACAACGCACAATCTTACTTTTATCCTCTTCGCCACTGATCGGCTTGTTAGCCGCTTGGGCGATCGGTCACGTCTCTGGTTACTTTTCCTTTTCATTTATCGTTTTCACCAAAAGATCGGCTCGCTAGCCGCCCGGGCAATCGGTCACGTCTCTATCAAGCACTGTTGGCAAATACTGGGCATGCATCGGCTTCTGAATGTACCTGAACCCGCTCCAGTGTTGGTCAAGTCTTGTCTTGAAAGAGCTCACACTCGGTGCTGTCACAACACTCTCTGGTAGAATGTTCCAAGAGTTCACAACTCTCACTCCGAAAAAGTTTGCCCTCACAGTTTTCTGGACTTGCGGCTTCTTCAATCTTGAGCTGTGACCCCTTGTGGGTTCCATTTTTTACACGCTAATATAACTTTACCTGAACACAAAGTGAAAATGAATCAAAACAGAGTTACTTTTGTATTTTTGGAGTTGATGTTGTATTGAGACTTAGATCAGACTTAATAGGAGTGTGAGAAGGTTAATAGATATAATCTGTCGTTGTTGTTGTTGCTGTTGGGGAAGGAATCCATTTACCGCTTCCCTGAAAGTAGAGCGGAGGGTTGGCTGATGCGACCTTGTGGGGAACGTGAAGTTTGGGTTACACTCAGGATGGGATGGAGAAAGGAAACTCACAATGTGCTCTCTGTATTCATATTGTATTGGATGTACAATGCAGCTTGGTGCTGGGAAGGCAGCATGGTTACAAGCATTGAGTAGAGAGAGCTGGTTGGTGAGGGTGCTCAGAGGAGGACCAGCTTGTGGGTCGCCGGTGGGAGCGAGGACCGCCAGGCAGGAGGCGGGGGAGGAGGTGTTGCTTGCTGGTTGGTGTAGGTAGAAAGGGAGAGAGCTGGTTGGTGAGGGTGCTCAAAGGAGGACCGGCTTGTGGGTCGCCATGCTCGCCTGCGGGAGCGAGGGCCGCCAGGCAGGAGCGGGCGAGGTGGTGTTGCTTGAAAACTGGCTGTAGGTAGAAAGAGAGGTAGTTGGTGAGGGTGATCAGAGGAGGACCAGCTTGTGGGTCGCCATGCTCGCCGGTGGGAGCGAGGGCCGCCAGGCAGGAGGAGGAGGAGGAGGAGGAGGAGGAGGAGGAGGTGTTGTTGCTGGCTGGTTGGTGTAGGTAAAAAGAGAGTGGTCACCACGAGGTCAGGTCTTATATAGCGGAGGTAGACGTGGCTTAATAGTTGACCTCCGTCATGTAAGGCGGCGCTGGTTGATCTAGACCACGAGGCATACACTGGGGAATTCGCGGGGTCGGCTACTCAGCGACAAACAGCGTTTGTAGGGGAGAAATCCACTACAACCTCTCTCTCTGGCCTAAGCTGCCGTGTCTTATCGTATCAAGATGGTAGCATTCATTCCGTCTCTGACACATTCATGGAAAAACCATATAAAGTCTAAATGAGTTGAGACTCTCATATAGGATTATTGACTTCAGTGTGTGCGTGTGTGTGTTTGTATTCACTAGAGAGAGATGGCGAGGTAAGGAGCTGTGTAGTGTGACATGATAAGGTCTTTTTATAGCCCTCAGGGAAATCAGATGGTATTAGGGGCACAAGTTTATAGCTGTCACTGCTGGAAATATCTGTCTCATTGTCTGTGTTGGTGGGTGTTCGTAAAGTCTTCAGGATTTTCTTATCATGGGATAATTTTTGCACCACTTGAATATTTTAGGTTTGGTTGATGTTTGGTTAGGTTAGATTAGATTAAATTGGTGTTAGGTTTGGTTAGTGTTAAGTTAGGTAAGATTAGGTTAGTGTTAGGTTAGATTAAATTAGTGTAAGGTTAGATTAGTGTTAGATTGGATTTGTATTAGGATCGATTAGATTAGTGTTTGGTTAGATTAGATTAATGTACGGTTAGATTAGATTAGAGTTAGGTTAGATTAGAATAGTGTAAGGTTAGATAGGGCTAGGTTACCCTTAGTGTGTATAAACATGAGATAAAAATAATGACCATTCTTCCCTTCCCAATACCAACACTAAACCATTTTCTCCTTCCCAAGCCAACACTAAACCATTCTTCCCTTCCCACAGCCAACACTAAACCATTCTTCCTTCCCACAGCCAACACTAAACCATTCTCCTTCCCACAGCCAACACTAAACCATTCTTCCTTCCCACAGCCAACACTAAACCATTCTTCCCTTCCCACAGCCAACACTAAACCATTCTTCCTTCCCACAGCCAACACTAAACCATCCTTCCCCACAGCCAACACTAAACCATTCTTCCCTCCCACAGCCAACACTAAACCATTCTTCCTTCCCACAGCCAACACTAAACCATTCTTCCCTTCCCACAGCCAACACTAAACCATTCTTCCTTCCCACAGCCAACACTAAACCATTTCTTCCTTCCCACAGCCAACACTAACCATTCTTCCCTTCCACAGCCAACACTAAACCATTCTTCCTTTCCCACAGCCAACACTGACCATCCTTCCCTTCCCACAGCCAACACTAAACCATTCTTCCCTTCCCACAGCCAACACTAAACCATCTCTTCCCTTCCTACAGCCAACACTAAACCATTCTTCCTTTCCCAAGCCAACACTAAACCATTTCTCTTCCCACAGCCAACACTAAACCATTCTTCCCTTCCCACAGCCAACACTAAAACCATCCTTCCTTCCCACAGCCAACACTAAACCATTCTTCTTCCACACAACACTAAACCATTCTTCTCTTTCCTTCCCACAGCCAACACAAACCATTCCTTCCCACAGCCAACACTAACCATCTCTTCCCTTCCCACAGCCAACACTAAACCATTCTTCCCTCCCACAGCCAACACTGACGGATAAGCTGACACCCATAGGAGCTGAGGTGAAGTACAGCCTGGTGGAGCCTAAGTATAGGAAGCCCTGCTCTCTCACCCCCATCCTCAACCAGCGCCAGAGACTCTCCTTGACCGACTCCATCGCCATCCAGAAGAACTGTGGGGACGACAACGTGTGTGTGCCTGACCTTATACTAACCTTCACTGCGTAAGTTTGTGTGGGGTGTTCTCTCTCTCTCTCTCTCTCTCTCTCTCTCTCTCTCTCTCTCTCTTGTATTAAAAAACACTATATACATCTGTCAATTGATATATCCTGCTGTTCCACGAATCATTTTAATTATCGTAATGCATGAGTGACAATTGAAGCATTTTATCTTTGTTAAGTAGAACAGAGGAAATACTATAATAATGAATTCTAGTGTTCCATGTCGTCTCTGTGTCTGTAATCCTTGGCTGGGAGCTGTACGTGTGTTTAGATATAAAACTTGATTAAACTGATAGCCCTCAAAGAGTTAAACCATCGTGTTCTAAGGGTTAATTCTTTGAGGATGAGTGGTTTAACTCTTTGAAGATAGTGGTTTAACTCTTTGAAGATAGTGGTTTAACTCTTTGAGGATGATTATTTGACCCTTCTAATGGACTTATCAGTATAGCAAACCCTACTAATTCTTGCAAGCCCTGTCCATTATTGGGAAGATTCTGTTCTTGAGAATATCCACTATTGAGAAATCCGTTATTGAGAAGGTTTACTGTTTTGAGAAGTCTGTCATTGAGAGAGTACTTTATTGAGAAGTCCGTTATTGAGAGAGACTTTACTTTATTGAGAAATCCGTTATTGAGAGACTTTACTTTATTGAGAAATCCGTTATTGAGAGAGTTTACTTTATTGACAGGGTTAATGTACAGTATTAAGAAGTCCGTTATTGAGAGGGATTACTGTACCGAGAAGTTAAATTGATTGATCATCATGTGTTTCTCCACAGGCCCGACACCTTCGTATTCCGGCAGAAGGAGCAACTGGAGGTGGACGTGAGGGTCGTCAACAACGCCGAGGACGCTTTCGAGGCCAGATTGTACATGCCCATACCCCGGCCTCCTCTACAGCAGGATCATCACCAAGGACAACACCTCCGTCACGTGTTCCCCCGCACCGCCGGCACCAACACCACCCTCATCTGTGATATTGGCAACCCTCTACCGTTACATAAGGGGGTGAGTCTGACCTTGTTTTGTCTTCAGGTCACATATACAGGGTGTCTCATAGGTCACATATACAGGGTGTCCAGGTCACATATATAGGTGTTTTATAGGTCACATATATAGGGTGTCTCATAGGTCACATATAGGGTGTTTTATAGGTCACATATATAGGGTGTCTCATAGGTCACATATATAGGGTGTCTCTCAGGTCACATATATAGGTGTTTTATAGGTCACATGTACAGGGTGTCTCATAGGTGCATGATGTATGAGGCACCCTGTACATTATATCCATACATAGATAGATAAGTACGGAGAGAGATAGAAAGATAGATGGATGAATGGATAGATCTTGTTTATGAATAAGTCAATAGAGACCTAGAGAGAGAAGATATTTATTTTCTTATTACTTCACTATATTTTGTGATACTTTACAATGCGTACATATATTCTAATTACTTACTATTTTACTATACTATACTTATTTTCTTATTAATTAACTTCTTATTCACTTACATTAATTATTTAGTAAAATCGTCTCCCTTCTTCTCCGCAGGTTCACTTCGCTGTATTTTTCCAAGAGAAGTCGAGGACGATGGAGGAGCCCCGCTTTGAGTTCCTGGTGGTGGCCAACAGTACTAATGGGGAGGACTTGAGGTCACGTGACGACAACATTGCTTTCAAGACTGTTCTGGTTGATGTCGACACCAAGCTAACTCTTTACGGGTGAGTTTGGGTGGTGTTTGTGTGTTTGTGGGGTTGGTGGTGTTTGGTGGGGGTTGGTGAGTGTTTGGTGGGGGTTGGTGGTGTTTGGTGGGTTGGTGTTTTGGTGGGGTTCGGTGGTGTTTGGTGGGGTTGGTGTTTGGTGGGGTTGGTGGTGTTTGGTGGGGTTGGGTAGTGTTTGGTGGGGGTTGGTGGTGTTTGGTGGGGTTGGGTTTGGTGGGGTTGGTGGTGTTTGGTGGGGGTTGTGGTGTTTGGTGGGGTTGGTGGTGTTTGGTGGGGAGTTGGTGGTGTTTGGTGGGGTTGGTGGTGTTTGGTGGGGGTTGGTGGTGTTTGGTGGGGTTGGTGGTGTTTGGTGGGGGTTGGTGGTGTTTGGTGGGGTTGGTGGTGTTTGGTGGGGTTGGTGAGTGTTTGTGGGGTTGGTGGTGTTTGGTGGGTGTTGTGGTGTTTGGTTGGGGTTGGTGTTTGGTGGGGTTGGTGTTTGGTGGGGGTTGGTGGTGTTTGGTAGGGGTTGGTGGAGTTGGTGGTGTTTGGTGGGGTTGGTGGTGTTTGGTGGGGTTGGTGAGTGTTTGTTGGGGTTGGTGGTGTTTGGTGGGGGTTAGTGGTGTTTGGTGGGTGTTGGTGGTGTTTGGTGGGGGTTGGTGGTGTTTGGTGGGGTTGGTGGTGTTTGGTGAGGGGTTGGTGGTGTTTGGTGGGGTTGGTGGTGTTTGGTGGGGTTGGTGGTGTTTGGTGTGGGTTGTTGTTTGTTGGGGTTGGTGGTGTTTGGTGGGTGTTGGTGTTTGTGTTGGTGTGTTTGGTGGGGGTTGGTGGTGTTTGGTGAGTTGTTGGTGGTGTTTGGTGGGTGTTGGTGGTGTTGTTTGGTGGGTGTTGGTGGTGTTTGGTGGGTGTTGGTGTTTTGGTGGTGTTGGTGTTTGGTGGGTGTTGGTGGTGTTTGGTGTTGGTGGTGTTTGGTGGGTGTTGGTGGTGTTTGGTGGGTGTTGGTTGTTTGGTGTAGAGGTTGGTGGTGTTTGGTGGGGTTGGTGGTGTTTGGTGGGTGTTGGTGGTGTTTGGTTGAATTATTGGTGGTGTTTGGGGTTGGTGGTGTTTGGTGGTGTTGTGGTGTTTGGTGGGGTTGGTGTTGGGTGGGTGTTGTTGATTGTTTGGTGGGTTGGTGGTGTTTGGTGGGTGTTGGTGGTGTTTGGTGTTGGTGGTGTTTGGGTGTTGGTTTGGTGGGTTGGTGTTTGGTGGGGGTTGGTGTTTGGTGTGTTTGGTTGATTGTTTGGGTGTTGGGGTTGTTGGTGTTGGTGGTGTTTGGTGGGGTTGGTGGTGTTTGGTGGGGTTGGTGGTGTTTGGTGGGGGTTGGTGGTGTTTGGTGGGTGTTGGTGGTGTTTGGTGGGGGTTGGTGAGTGTTTGGTGGGTGTTGGTGGTGTTTGGTGGGGTTGGTGGTGTTTGGTGGGGTTGGTAGTGTTTGGAGGTGGGTGTTGGTGTTTGGTGGGGTTGGTGGTGTTTGGTGGGGTTGGTGGTGTTGGTGGGGGTTGGTGGTGTTTGGTGGGGTTGGTGGTGTTTGGTAGGTGTTGGGTGTTTGTTGGTGGTGTTTGGTGGGTGTTGGTGGTGTTTGGTGGTGTTTGGTGGTGGTGTTTGGTGGGTGTTGGTGGTGTTTGGTGGGAGTTGGTGGTGTTTGGTGGGTTGGTGGTGTTTGTTTGGGTGTTGGTGGTGTTTGGTGGTGGTGTTGGTGTTTGGTGGGTGTTGGTGGTGTTTGGTGGTGTTGGTGTTGTTTGGTGGGGTTGGTGGTGTTTGGTGGTGGTGGTGTTGGTGGGTGTTGGTGGTGTTTGGTGGGGGTTGGTGGTGTTGGTGGGGTTAGTTGGTGTTTGGTGGGTGTTAGTGATGTTTGGTGGTGTTGGTGGTTTGGGTTGGTGGTGTTTGGTGGGTGTTGGTGTTTGGTGGGGTTAGGTGGTGTTTGGTGGGTGTTGGTGGTGTTTGGTGGGGTTGGTGGTGTTTGGTGGGTGTTGGTGGTGTTTGGTGGGTGTTGGTGGTGTTTGGTGGGTGTTGGTGTGTTTGGTGTGGTGTTGGTGGGAGTGTGTTTGGTGGGTGTTGTTGGTGGTGTTTGGTGGGTGTTGGTGGTGTTTGGTGGGTGTTGGTGGTGTTTGGTGGGTGTTGGTGTGGTGTTTGGTGGGAGGTTGGTGGTGTTGGTGGGGTTGGTGGTGTTTGGTGGGTGTTGGTGGTGTTTGGTGGGTGTTGGTGGTGTTTGGTGGGTGGTGGTGGTGTTTGGTGGGTGTTGGTGGTGTTGGTGGGTGTGTTGGTGGTGTTTGGGGTTGGTGGTGTTTGGTGGGTGTTGGTGGTGTTTGGGGTTGGTGGTGTTTGGTGGGTGTTGGTGGTGTTTGGTGGAGGTGTGGTGGTGTTTGGTGGGGTTGGTATGTTTGGTTGGGTTGGTGGTGTTTGGTGGGTGTGGTGGTGTTTGGTGGGTGTTGGTGGTGTTTGGTGGGGTTGGTGGTGTTTGGTGGGTGTGGTGGTGTTTGGTGGGTTTGGTGGTGTTTGGTGGTGTTGGTGGTGTTTGGTGGGGTTGGTGGTGTTTGGTGGGTGTTGGTGGTGTTGTTTGGTGGGTGTTGGTTGGTGTTTGGTGGTGTTGGTGAGTGTTTGGTGGGTGTTGAGTGGTGTTTGGTGGGGTTGGTGGTGTTTGGTTGTTGGTGAGTGTTTGGTGGGGGTTGGTGGTGTTTGGTGGTGTTGGTGGTGTTTGGTGGGGTTGGTGGTGTTTGGTGGGTGTTGGTGAGTGTTGGGTGGAGTGTTGGTGGTGTTTGGTTGGGGTTGGTGGTGTTTGGTGGGGGTTAGGTGGTGTTTGGTGGGTGTTGGTGGTGTTTGGTGGGTTGGTGGTGTTTGGGTGTTGGTGGTGTTTGGTTGGTAGTGTTTGGTGGGGTTAGTGGTGTTGGTGGGGTGTTGGTGGTGTTGGTGGGGTTGTTGGTGTTGGTGGGGTTGGTGGTGTTTGGTGGGTGTTGGTGGTGTTTGGTGGGTGTTGGTGGTGTTTGGTGGGTGTTGGTGGTGTTTGGTGGGGTGTTGGTGTTTGGGTGTTGGTGTTTGGGTGTTGGTGTGGTGTTTGGTGGGGTTGGTGTTTGGTGGGGGTTGGTGAGTGTTTGGTGGGTGTTGGTGTTGGTGGAGTGTTGGTGGTGTTGGTGGGAGTTGGTGGTGTTTGGTGGGTGTTGGTGGTGTTTGGTGGGTGTTGGTAGTGTTTGGTGGGTGTTGGTGGTGTTTGGTGAGGTTGGTGGTGTTTGGTGGGGGTTGGTGGTGTTTGGTGGGGTTGGTATTGTTTGGTGTGGGGTTGGTGGTGTTTGGTGGGGTTGGTGGTGTTGGTGGGGTTGGTGGTGTTTGGTGGGTGTTGGTGGTGTTTGGTGGGTGTTGGTGGTGTTTGGTGGGGGTTGGTGGTGTTTGGTGGTTGGTGTGTTTGGTGGGTGTTGGTGGTGTTTGGTGGGTGTTGGTGGTGTTTGGTGGGGGTTGGTGGTGTTTGGTGGGTGTTGGTGTTTGGTGGGGTTGGTGGTGTTTGGTGGGTGTTGGTGGTGTTTGGTGGGTGTTGGTGGTGTTGGTGGGAGTTGGTGGTGTTTGGTGGGGTTGGTGGTGTTTGGTGGGTGTTGGTGAGTGTTTTGGTGGTGTTGGTGGTGTTTGGTGGGGGTTGGTGGTGTTTGGTGGGTGTTGGTGGTGTTTGGTGGGGGTTGGTGGTGTTTGGTGGGTGTTGGTGGTGTTTGGTGGGGGTTGGTGGTGTTTGGTGGGTGTTGGTGGTGTTTGGTGGGGTTGGTGGTGTTTGGTGGGTGTTGGTGGTGTTTGGTGGGTGTTGGTGGTGTTTGGTGGGGTTGGTGGTGTTTGGTGGGTGTGGTGGTGTTTGGTGGGTGGTTGGTGTTGGTGGAGTTTGGTGGGGTCGGTGGTGTTTGGTGGGGTTGGTGGTGTTTGGTGGGGGTTGGTAGTGTTTGGTGGGGTTGGTGGTGTTGGTGGGGGTTGGTGGTGTTTGGTGGGGGTTGGTGGTGTTTGGTGGGTGTTGGTGGTGTTTGGTGGGGTTGGTGGTGTTTGGTGGGTGTTGGTGGTGTTTGGTGGGTGTTGGTGGTGTTTGGTGGGTGTTGGTGGTGTTTGGTGGGTGTTGGTGGTGTTTGGTGGTGTTGGTGGTGTTTGGTGGGTGTTGGTGGTGTTTGGTGGGGTTGGTGGTGTTTGGGGGTTGTTGTTTGGTGGGGGTTGGTGTTTGGTGGGTGTTGGTGGTGTTTGGGTTGGTGTTGGTGGTGTTTGGTGGGGTTGTGGTGTTTTGGTGGGGTTGGTGATTGTTTGGTGGGGTTGTTAGTGTTGGTGGGTTGGTGGTGTTTGGTGAGGTGTTGATTGTTTGGTGGGGTATTGGTGTTGGGGTTGGTGGTGTTTGGTGGGTGTTGGTGGTGTTTGGTGGGTGTTGGTGGTGTTTGGTGGGTGTTGGTGGTGTTTGGTGGGTTGGTGTGTTTGGTGGGTGTTGGTGGTGTTTGGTGGGGTTGGTGGTGTTTGGTGGGGTTGGTGGTGTTTGGTGGGTGTTGGTAGTGTTTGGTGGGTGTTGGTGGTGTTTGGTGGGTGTTGGTGGTGTTTGGTGGGGGTTGGTAGTGTTTGGTGGGTGTTGGTGGTGTTTGGTGGGGTTGGTAGTGTTTGGTGGGGGTTGGTGGTGTTTGGTGGGGTTGGTGGTGTTTGGTGGGGGTTGGTGGTGTTTGGTGGGGGTTGGTGGTGTTTGGTGGGGTTGGGTGGTGTTTGGTGGGGGTTGGTGGTGTTTGGTGGGTGTTGGTGGTGTTTGGTGGGGTTGGTGGTGTTGGTGGGTGTTGAGTGAGTGTTTGGTGGTGTTGAGTTGTTGTTTGGTGGGGTTGGTGGTGTTTGGTGGGTGTTGGTGGTGTTTGGTGGGGTTGTGGTGTTTGGTGGGGTTGTGGTGTTTGGTGGGTTGGTAGTGTTGGTGGGGTTGGTAGTGTTTGGTGGTGTTGGTGGTGTTTGGTGGGAGGTGTTGGGCGTTGGTGTTTGGTGGGGTGTTGGTGGTGTTTGGTGGGGGTTGGTAGTGTTTGGTGGGTGTTGGTGGTGTTTGGTGGAGGGTTGGTGGTGTTTGGTGGGTGTTGGTGGTGTTTGGTGGGGTTAGTGGTGTTTGGTGGGTGTTGGTGGTGTTTGGTGGGGTTGGTGGTGTTTGGTGGGCGTTGGTGGTGTTTGGTGGGTTGGTAGTGTTTGGTGGGTTGGTGTTTGGTGGGGTTGGTGTTTGGTGGGGGTTGGTGGTGTTGGTGGGGTTGGTGTTTGGTGGGGTTGGTTGGTGTGTGGTGTTTGGGGTTGATGTTGGGGTTAGTGGTTTTGGTGGAAGTTGATGGTGTTTGGGTGGGGTTAGTAGTGTTTGGAGGGTTGGTGGTGTTTGGTGGGGTTGGTGGTGTTTGGTGAGGTTGGTGGTGTTTGGTGGGGTTAGTGGTGTTTGAGTGGTGTTGGGTGTTTGGTGGGTGTTGGTGGTGTTTGGTGGGTGTTAGTGGTGTTTGGTGGGGTTGGTAGTGTTTGGTGGGCGTTGGTGGTGTTTGGTGGGGTTGGTGGTGTTTGGTGGGTGTTGGTGGTGTTTGGTGGGGTTGGTGGTGTTTGGTGGGTGTTGGTTTGAGTTGGGCGTTGAAGTGGTGTTTGGAAGGTGGGAGTTGGTGGTGTTTGGTAGGGGGTTGGTGTTGGGGGTGTTTGGTGGGCGTTGGTGGTGTTTGGTGGAGGTGTTGGTGTTGTTTGGTAGGGTTGGTGGTGTTTGGTAGGAGTTAGTGGTGTTTGGTGGGGTTGGTGAGTGTTTGGTGGGCGTTGGTGTTGATTGTGATTGATGGTGTTTGGTGGGTTGGTGGTGTTTGGTGGGGTTGGTGGTGTTTGGGTGTTAGTGGTGTTTGGTGGGGTTGGTGGTGGTGTTGGTGGGGTTAATTGGTGTTTGGTGGTGGTTGGTGAGTGTTGGTGGGCGTTGATGTTGGTGTTTGGTGGGCGTTGGTGGTGTTTGGTGGAGTTGGGTGTTTGGAGTGGGAGTTGGTGTTTGGTGGAAGAGTTGGTTTGGTGGGCGTTGGTGGTGGGTTATTGAGTGTTGGTGGGGTTGGTAGTGTTTGGTGGGCGTTGGTGAGTGTTTGGTGGGCGTTGGTGGTGTTTTGGTGGGTTGGTGGTGTTGGTGGGGGTTGGTGTGTTTGATGAGTTGGTGGTGTTTGGTGGGGTTGGTGAGTGTTTGGTGGGGTTGGTGGTGTTTGGGGGGTTGGTAATTGTTTGGTGGGTTGGTGGTGTTTGGTGGGGTTAGTGGTGTTTGGTGGGGTTGGTGGTGTTTGAGGCGTTGGTGGTTGGTGGTGGTGTTGGTGGGGTGTTGGTGTCTGGTGTAAAATTGCTTGGCGGTGTCGGTGAGTGTTTGGTGGGGTCAGTGGTGTTGGTGGGTGTCGGTGGTGTTTGGTAGAAGTTGGTGGTGTTTGGTGGGCGTTGGTGGTGTTTGGTGGGCGTTGGTGGTGTTTGGTGGGGGTCGGTGTGGTGTTGGTTGGTTCTGATATAGGTTCTAAGACTACCCGTCAGCACAAACCATATTATCAACTATTGTTATAAACACATATCCGTCAGCCCGATCAGTATAACCCAACATTATGTCCTTGTCAGCCAGAACCTGACTCATCATCATCTCCTTGTCAACACAATATCATCATCATCGCTCAACATAAACGACAGTGTTTACAGATCATCAGCACCGAAATTATAACAAACCCATACCCAATCATCAGCACCATGTCAGCATAACCTAAGACTCACCATTTACCAGCAGATCATCAACACCATGTCAACATAACCCAAACACCACCGTTTACCCGCAGATCGTCAGCACCATATCCAGCGTAACTAAATTCCACTGTTACCTGCAGATCATCAGCACTGAAACCTTAACCTAAAGACCCACTGTTTATATGCAGATCATCAGCACCTGAAGACATAACCTAAGACCCTGTTTACCTGCTGAATCTCAGCACCATGTCAGCACTTAACTAAGACTCACTGTTTACCTGCAGATCATCAGCACCATGTCAACATAACCTAAGACCCTGTTTACCTGCAGATCGTCAACACCATATCAGCATAACCTAAGACTCACTACTGTTACCTGCAGATCATCAGCACACAAAGACATCAGGTACAACAGGACATATGCTCAGGGAAGCCTCACCCATAGGCACCACCCTCAGCCCCAGTCATGCAAGTGCAGTATCTCAACAACGGCCCCTCGGAATCTTAGGGAGACAGAATTGGAAGTCATCTGGCCCCACCAAGACCTGAATAGCTGAGTCAGAAAGGGTTTATATATCATATTTGGTTTATATATGTCCAAGTTGGTTTATATGTCACGTTGGTTTATATGGTATTTGCGTATGATGTTGGTTTATATTGATGTTTTATATTGTCATATTTGAATTATATATATGATGTTGGTTTATGTTCATATATTTTTATATATGTATGTTTATGTATAAGTTAGTTATTGGTGGTTAAGGTTTGGCACTTGTTAAAGAAATAAAACATTTAAATAGATTAAGTCAACCCAATTGTTAATACTATATGTAATCACCTGTATATAGACACCCCAATTTAATTTACTGATGATTAAAACAACTTCTTCTTAACTCAACTAGCATAACAACTAACAACCAATAGCTAGCCAACCATTGACAACTAACAATAACAACTATTATTGTGTATTAATATTAGCCAACAGCAATAGCCAACCCAACACTAATGTAACTAAATTAAGCTAACTAACAACCATTAACACAATATTCTTTTTCCAGACAACTACCTACATATCTACTAGAACATTTGCATCCTGGTCCCATCTAAGTGCCCATATTTCCTCTATCCAACCCAATCTTATGGTAGGTATATCAAGGTGTTGAGTGGAGATGAAGTGTTAGTGGAATGAGGGGATTGGTGGAGGTGAAGTGTTACTGGTGAGATGAGGGATATTAGTAAGGTGGAGATGAGGAAGGTTGGTAGAAATGGAGAGGAGGAGAGGTGGAATGAGGAGGTATTGATGGAGAGAGGGTGAAGTGGTGGGGGAGGGTGTTACTGGTGAAGATGAGGAGGTGTTAATGGAGGTGAGGGAGGTTAGGTGCAGTGGTGAAAAACATTTGGAGGAAATAACTCATATAACAGTTAATGTTAATCAAAAGTCATAGAAATTAACCAGAAAATACAAAATGTTATGGCTATTCAAGTCTTGTTATTTCTATCCTCTTCTCGTCTGACTGACAGAAAAGGAGATGGACGTTTAGACTAATGAAGCTTGGGGTGAGAAGAAAGGAGGTGCAGTCTCAGACAAGGAGGCCTCCAGAGGTGAGAGTTCAGGAGGTACTGTACCTGCTGGTGGGGGAGGAGAGAGAGAGGTCACTATACTACAGAGATCATCAGGCTCAACATATTACTCTACTGATGGTGGCAACTCATCCACTCTTATCTCCTTCTTCCTCATCATCTACATCATACCCATTCCTCCTCTTCCTCTTATACTTCCTCCTCCTCCAGGTAGAAAAAAGGCCAATTCCTCTTAAGATTCTCAATTATTCCTCGGAAAAATAAGTCTGCCAGAAGATAAAAGAACAGGCTGATGGGCCAATCAACTGGGACACTGAGTGGCTAGACTGACATTGACCCGATCCTTGCTGAATTACCACGGTCAATCACTCCAGCTCACACAAAGATATTCATAGAACAGTGATAATTCAGGTTTATGTAGATATTTTAACAATTTAAGATATTAAGCTAGATATTCTAGTATAAATTTGCTCAAGTAAATATTCCTATATGTATTAAATAAACATCAATATGTGGTCACCTTCTCTTTTTTAATAGAGTTCATAAGCAGTATTATGGCTAAACCCATGGTACTGTAATACGCTAAGTCATACCAGAACTCAACACTGATCTTTGTCCACCATACAAATAGAGATAGGGTTTGTTCTTCAGGTTCATCACCTGTTTAATTAATGTTCATAGGAAACTGTTTTTGTAGTTCTGATTAACTAGGTACAATTATTATTTTATAGTTAACTGAGTTATAATTGTTATATTAGGTTCGATTAACACAAAGTTATTATTATTTGTAAATCTGATTAACACCAAAGTTATAAATTGATTTTGTAGTTCTACAGTTAACATGAGGAGTTAACAGGTGTATTTATAGTTTCACAGTTAATAGAAAATCATAATTGTTGTTTGTTTATATACAACTAGTGGTTCGACTGACTGTGGGTAACAAAGTGCGAGGGATCCACTGTGTGTCCGGACCAGTGATGGAGATATCTTCTACATATACGTCCTTTCAAAGACTCGCGTCTCCACCTAGCTGAGGTAGTAAATAACCTCTCTCTTGTGGTATAGAAAAGTACTTATAATTACAGGGTTTATAAGTTGTGAAAGATAAACTTATAACCTATATATTAGAAGTTTTATTAAATTATATTACCTAACTTCTGTGTGTTTTTGAAGATTCTGTATATTTTTGCATATTTATCGTAAGTTTGTGCCTCTGTCACAGCAAATGCAATACTGTATTTATGTGAACAAAGACTATTTTATGGCACTGTAATGCAGATGTATTTTTATTAGTATATTCCCTAATTAAGTTTACTAGGAGTTATTAGACTGTATATTCTGATTCATGGCCAGAGTGCCTAATATTGTTGTTTTACCTCCCCTGGTGCTGTGTGTGTGTGTGTGTGTGTGTATGCGTGGTAAATAATAATTTGGTTTATTGAAAGATTCACAGCCCGGTACGAAATATACTTCAGACATAAATGACCCCATTATAGAAAGGTAAGAGGACATACAGTGAACATACAGAATAATGTAGTGTTAGACAGCAAACCGTATTATAGTAACTCCCTCAGATTAATTATTATAGAACTGACGTGGTGTAACTCTCTCCCAGATGGCGTTATGAAGGACCTCCGTGGTGATAATTCCCTGCAGATGGTGTTGCCCAAGGGGCCTCAAGTGTGCCAACATTCCCTCTGAATGGTGTGTGCAAGGGGGCCTCATGTGATTGTAGTAACTCCCTCACAGATGGTGTGGAGGACCTCACGTGGTGTAATGCTTTCCCTCCAGATGGTGTTAAGAAGACTCCATGAGTGTAAGTAACTCCCTCCCAGATGTGTGGGAGGACTCGTAGTGTAATGCTCCCTTCCAGATGGTGTGCAAAGAACCTAGTGCTGGTGTAGTAATTCCCTCACAGATGGTTAGGAGGACCTCCTGTGTAGTAACTCCACTCCAGATGGAGTGTTATTGAAGGACCTCCATGGCCATAATAACTCCTCCCAGATGGTATTGGGAGGGACCTCACGTGGTGTGTGCTCCCTTCCAGATGGTGTTAGGAGGGACCTCCACATGGTGTGTGCTCCTCCAGATGGTGTTGAGGACCTCATGGTGTAGTAACTCCCTCCCAGGATGGTGTTGGAGAGGACCTCCACATGGTGTAATAACTCCCTCCCAGATGGGGTGGGAGGACCTCATGTGTAAGGTGTGTGCTCCCTTCCAGATGGTGTGTGAACCCTGATGTGGTGTGTGCATTCCCTCACAGATGAGTGTGGGAGGACCTCACGCCATGTAATGCTCCCTCCCCAGATGGTATTGGGGAGGGGCCTCCGTGGTGCAAGTAACTCCTCCCAGATGGTGTGGAGGATCCGTGGTGGCAAGTAACTCCTAGCAGATGGTGTTATGAGGGACCTCACATTAGTGCAATAACTCCTCCCAGATGGTGTTATAGAGGACCTCCGTGGGTGTGCTCCCCTCACAGATGGTGTTGTGAGGACCTCGTGGTGTAATATCCCTCCCAGATGGTGTGGGAGGGACCTCATGTGGTGAAGTAATTCCCTCACAGATGGTGTTATGAAAGGACCTCACGTGATGAAATAATTCCCTCACAGATAGTGTTATAGGGCGGCCTTGGTGTAGTAATTCCCTCACAGATGGTGTGTGGGGGACCCTCACGTGGTGTAGTAACTCCCTCTCTGAATGTGGTGTTATGAGGGCATCACGTGTGTAGTAATTCCCTCACCCAGATGGTTTTAGGAGGCTTGACTTGGTGTAATAATTCCCACTTACAGTGGTATTTATGTAAGGTGTAGTCCCAAACCTATAAATAGACAGTTAACACGCCAGCTAGTTGTTATTTAGGTCTGGGCAGTTGTCACTGGTGCCTGTGGCCTCACTGTATGACTCAGCCAACCCCAATGACTGAGTTGTTCTCACTGACTTGGCCTGTTCACCACTGTTCACTTCTGTTCCTTTTGGGTTCCATTCCTCTAAGTAGAGTGCCAACTTCTGGCAGGCTTGTTGATATTCTGAGTGGGAGGGGGGTCATGGGAGGGAGTTGTGTGTTAACCAACAGTTGACTTAGCTGCTCCCAGAATACCAAATCGTCTTGACCCTTCAGTGGTCAAAGATGTTTGTGTGTGTGTGTGTGTGTGTGTGTGTGTGTGTGTGTGTGTGTGTGTGTGTGTGTGTATGTGTGTGTGTGTGTGTGTGTGTGTGTGTGGCAATACAGTAATTTAATCTTAAGGTGGGAAATAAGTTTATGCAAGAACCTTTATCTTGATACTAATCTTAATAACACTTACTGTACAAATTGACACATCAGTTTGACAATCCTCTTGATTTTCTTTCAGGACCCATTGGTACATCTCTGGATGGGTATTACATTATTACCTCCATAACAGAGCCATGGTAACCCTCTGTTATTACTGTGTACTCATTACATATAGGCCATATTCTTACTCTAGTACTATTATTACTCATTACATATAGAATAAATAACCCCTCTAATATTATCACTCATGAGGATCAACTAACTC